TTTCGAGTCAACAGCAAAATCACAAAATATTTAAAAACATCATTTCTGTAGAATTTCTGATAGACAGTCTCCCGCGCTGGAGATAAAGATGCTTTTTCCGTACAGTGTTGCCACTACTGGTTTTGATATTGTTGAGTTTCTGAATCAAAAGTTCGTTAAAGTTACAAAATATGAAATAGTTAATAAAACAAATTTGAAATACAAAATTCGGGCGTCCAAATGCCCATATTCGGGTGGAGGACTACGTTAGTCAGAATTTGATGTATCTAAGTACCATTGTTTTTTCACGATGCTAGAAATATGCATACATTCGTGCAGATTCCCCATTACTTAATTTTTTAAATAATACAAAGCTATAATAATTGGTGGCAACAGTTTGAAAAGTGATTCTCTGTTTAATAGTGAATCGACACAAAACCCCGTTTCGTGACTAATAACTCCTTTAGAGAAAAAAGAAAATTTTTGGATTCAAATAAGGATTTATCCTGTTTAGTGGAAGCATTCCTAATGTTCAAAACCTGGTACTATAAAAAGTGTCATTTCTTGTGCACTCTTAGAATTTAATTTATCACCATTTATTTAACAGCTATAGTTTCAATCTACACCCCCCGGTCATGTTGATGCAATTAACTGAAAGATTTGAAGATGACTATGAGAAAATTTGGCAGGTGACTTGATGAATTTTTTATAAAATCTGTGATTCATTTGATATAACAGCTGTGGAAAGAAATAACATTTCACCTTTGTCTAAGTCAAAACCATCCTTTGCAGAGTAGGTAGCAGACTTAAAAATCTTATAATTCTGTGCAAGAAAAAAGTTCTTCGTACTCAACGTATGCAAACTTACAAATCTACTTTTTATTTTTTTCAATTGTTAAAATGTGTAACTGTTTGCAAATTTTATATAAAATAATTCATGTATAAGTTAAAAAAAAATCTGCTTATCAGTGCCATTTTATGCAGAGTTATGAACTAATATTAATAACAGCACCGAGTTCTTAAAAGATTTCGTCTCAGCCCATTTCTTATTGAAACTTTGTACGAAAATTAATTTTACTTTCCATTCATTAAAAATAGGTGTCGCTCGCGCTATCTAATTAAATCTTTTTTATTGCGTCACATTTTTAAGAGTTTTAGTAACATATTAAGATAAAATATTTGCTTCTTCTTTAAATTCAGTCTTTAGATTCGATCAATCGCATTGTTACTCCAAAGTTTCTATATTTCTTGTTATAAAAATAGCATAGTGTTTGATAATAAAACTTTTAGAAAATGCGAAATACAAGTAGCATTGCCAAATATTAAATATATTATTCCCGATTCAAAAAATTCGTGGGAAACCATTTTGACTGTTCCTGTTTTCATACGACTTTAATCAACCGAGATATTAATTAAAAATTCTGAAAGCACTCATTTTTCACTCATTTTTCCGAGTGGCAACAGTCTCGCGCGTTGAAGATGAAAATGCTTTAATTCGAAAAGTGTTGCTACTGCTCGCTTTCAAATTTTAAAACACAAACTGTCTACGTTAAATACGGACGTATGGTTATTTAATAACAAGCAGGCCAGGTAGGCAGTTTAATTACCTTTATTTCAAAGGGAAAAAATGTATGTTTTATAGTATGCCAGTAGTTCCTTTCGTGTGTGTGTGTTTGTGGGGAGGGGGGGGAATAATTCAGGTAAGCATGTTGCCCAACTGCAAAAATATACATTTTTAAACACAAAATTATTATTTAAATTCGTTAAATTAATATTGTTACGAAATGTACAGGCGCGGTAAAATGGCTTCCACGCAAAGCAGTTTTAGGGTTGCCATAAAATAGCAAGATAAGGCAGGGTTGCCACATTTGGCGAGAAATCGCCCGTTTGGCGACAAAATTGGCGATATGTCATGGACGCATGGAGAACCTTCTGGAACGAATTCTTACCGGTTTAGCCCAGAATGTTCTCGAACACAAGCCGAAAGCTATATAAACCCTGCTGGTCCGCAGTCAGTGTGTGCCTCGTCTAGCGAGCTGATAGTCAGTCATTGAGAGTGTGCCTCGTCGAGAGGGCGAGAGTGAGTGCCTCATCAAGTGCGAGATAGTTAGTATCGAGTTAGTTAGCCCGTGCGAAGTCGATCGAGTTGACAGCCGGGTAGCGAGTGCCGAGTGGGTCGTCGAATGCACCGAAAGAGTCTCGTAGTGTATCGCGGTTAGTGCATCTTCGAGAGAGCGTGTTGAGCTCCGGCAACGACTGAACCGAAGAGTCGGGAGCCGTGCTCTGCGTGTCGTCGACTGCATCGCGAGTTGTAGCGTGGAGAGTCTCGAGAGTACGTGGAGTTCCGAGAACGACCGAGCAGAGTCGGGAGCTGTACTCTGGTGCTTTGCAGTGAAGCTGTTTCCACCGTGATAGCTTGGTAACCTGAAAGCTGTGTCGCTGATCGTGTCAACGTGTTTATAACAGTTCGACGACTGTAAACGAGATTTTGGAGCTGTTCTGATTAATATCGGCCAATAAAGTGTGTGTCGATCCTTCATCAAGTGTCGTCGTTATTCACTCCAAATCCACACGACCCCGTACGAACGTGAAGGAAGAAAACGTAACAACTGGTGTCAGAAAAGAAAAACACAACAATATTGTAGGAAAATGCCTACAATGCAGAAGGAGTAGGAAAAAAATTTCTGTGACACGTATCTGTATTTTCGAGTCAGTAATAGAAGATAATGTTACATTTAAGTGGCACGATAGACTTTTGCCTGTGCATGTGAAGTGGATATTTTATGTTAATCTTTTACCCGTAATAAACTTTGAACTCTTTAAATGAATAAAATTAGATGACAGGATGACTTAAGAAAAAGAACACTACTCCTTTATTTTTCCTCAAAATCAAATCAAATAATCTATCAGTGGTTGCTGGGCAGCAATCTTATGTTGCCATCTTACAAAAATTAAAACGTACAGAAATTAAAGATAAGATGAAGAGGAACCATTGAGGACGCTACACCTGGTTTCAAGTTGACCAAACTAAGTTTCTTTGCCCAAACCCTTTATTATCTGTAAATCTTCTGTTTGCAGTTATCTGCACTAAGGTATCGCGAGATTTGTTTCCAATCTCCTAGCCTTTTCTTTTAAAAAGAAATAAACAGAAAAGGAAGACAAAAAGGAGAGATGCAGGAGCTTAACTCCTTTCGCAGTAATTATCTATTCTTTATATTTTCTTGCACAGTCATTAACTTTTTAAAAGATAAAATTCTATGGAAGGTTACGGTTGAAAAAGCTGTTACATGGTTTAAATTTTCTCTTCTGTTTTTTGAAGACTTGTAGCATCCGGTTGTGCATCGGGAAAGCAAGAATATTTTTTTTTCTCTTTTGTTTTGTTTCTTGATTGTTTTTTTTTTTTTTTTTTTTTCCCTTCCATCACCGTTGTACATCATTATTTCGGTCTTTATGCCCAGTGTTAGTGAAAGCCTTATATCTTTCATTTTTTTAAATCTTGTTTCTGTTTCAGAACTAAATGAAGCGTTTTATTTTGGTATGGGTTTTATGAGATCTTTGCTTCATCAAAAAACGTGAAATTTTATCTCTCATGTTGAGTTCAGAAAATGTAAGGAAAAATACTTTTCATCATTTGATATTTAAATCAGCTTTCGCAAGGAAATATGACTTCGAAAATTGGATGACGCTAACTTAATGATATTCTTTTATCCCTTCTTTCTGGTTCTAAAGAACTACATTCTGAAAACTTTCATCAACTAGTTATCGAGAGACGCAAGCCAAATGACTCGAGTTTTTTCACAAAGACATATAATTTCCGTCTTGAAAAACTCGAAGCATGGGAGTCGTCTTTGGGGGGGGGGAATAATTGAAGTTTTTATTTAAAAACTGATCACGCGCAGATTTCTCGTTGTGTAGAAATAGCAACAAACGCTTTGCATTATTAACCTTCATGAAGCTGAATTTATTTGGGAATATTAAACAGGGAATTCTACTCTCGGTTTATCATTATAGAGTTCGTCGGTACTCGATTTTAGAATCTTGTATTCTTTGGTAGCACAAATTAACAAGCTCTAAGAAATTGTATGAGAAATTATTCCTAGATCTTAACACAACAGAAAAGTCAGAAGAACGGTGTAAAGAACCTTTTATTCAATCAATATAGGTTCATAGATGGCCTAATTCGAGCTTACATGAAACCAACACTTCTGGCTTAACTCAAACAGGTGACGTTGAATTTAAAATAAAATGTATTAAATTAGACTTACGTCTCACAAGATAATGTAAAGCGCAGGAAGGCTCTGACTCGTAGTAGCCGGCGTAGCAAGCTTGATGGCTAGAAGCACTCAACGCCACAGCATCAAAGGCGAGCCCGAGTTCGAGTCCCGAAGAAGTCTTCGATGTTTACAAGTTTATAGTGTCTTTGCAGGCTGAGGGAGATTAACATGCATGGGAAGTTGGAAGTCCTGCCAAGTGGTTTGATAGTAAGAGAAAAGGGATTTTGAATGGAACTGCGAAAGTTGTACTGTCACCCATAGGGTACCCCAGGCTCATGCCAGCAACAGATGCAATCTTGTACGCCCCGTCACGATAAGTGTCGTGGACTTCTCAATTTACTATCAGACAAAGAGGTAATTTATATTAAAAAAAAAAAAAACAGTAGTAATTATAGAAAAACACAAAGTAGTTTTTCTATAATTTTAAGTGTTTTTCCTTTAGCATAAAATTAATTTTTTAGTATTTTGAATAAAATTATTTTGGTTAAAGAAATTTTCTATGGATTTAATAATATTGCAAGAATTAAGAGTATTGTAATTACTCTTTTCGCTTTCACCACGAGTGTATCTTTTGCATTTATTTTGATAAAATTGAAAATTGTGATAAATGCTAGAGTTGTTTTGATCTCTACTGTGTTGTTCGTAGATTTAAAAAAAAAGTGAACTTATAAAGTGTTTACATTAATTCAATTTATTATTATAATTCATTAAGTTTGTTATTAAATTTATTCTTTTTCCTAATTGCAGGTCTACTGCGGTCAGAAACATTACCCGATTGAAGCTAATAATAGTGAAGGGAAGTGCTAGTCGATCTGACTCTTGTATTTCCAGCACTATTAATATATAATAAAAGCAAATATTTAGCACTACTGGCGATTCCCTTCTATAACTTCAGAAACGATTGGAATAAAAGTAAAATCTGTACTTTTCAAGAGAAAGAAAAGCTAAACTCCATTTCTGGCTTCAGAAGTTAAGAGTAATTTATTAGTTCTTGCTAAAAATTTATAGCAAGCATTTATTTTATTTATCAAATGCCTGGCCATTGACCATCAGGTCATTAGCCAATGAGCTCTTCAATACTGCTTTACAATACAGTCTAAACTCTTAAGTGCAGAGCACAGGTCCAGATGAGCAACCTCCATGACTTATCCAGAATCACACAAAGCACATAAAGGTGAGGCAGTCAGTCATGTCCAGTGAATAATCTAACTAAACTCAGCCACAGCAGTAGCACAAGGACAGTCCGAGACACAGTCCGCTTTTAATAGCACCCTCCATGAATTTTCAGTAGCACTAACAGCAGCATTATCAAAGCATTTTTTATAAATCGTATGGATTTAAAGTTTAGCAGAGTGAAGAGATAGGTCTCTGGAAGGCCTTTGGAGAGTATCCGTACATTTTTTGGCCAAAACGTCAGCGATCTCATTTCCCCAAAGGCCACAATGTGATGGAACGCACTGGAAATAGGCACTGACACCTTCGTATGAATTCTGCTCAACAGCTCCCTGCAGCTCTGGACACGAGCACTTTGTTTTCCTGGGTTACTTGCTAAGGCCTGAAGAGCAGAACTCGAGTCCGATAAAATTAGAGCCTTATCAAGAGATGGGCAGAGCTGTTGAAGGACTAAATGGATGGCCTCGACTTCACCATCAAAATAGGTTCTATGAGAGCCAACATATAAATAAAAGGAAAACAGATCACAGAAGACGCCTGCACCAGCGCCTTGGGTGAAATCCAAAAGGGAACCATCATGTAAATATGAAGCCACTCACCAGGAAGACAGCGAATATTAATGTTTTCCAAAGCGATGGCACGAACAGCATTTGTGCGTAGGTCGTTTTTCCTCACAATGCCAAGTTCAATCTGACATCGAGAAGCATAAACTCCAGTGGATTTATATGAGTTAGGCCTTTTCGTTATAATGGCATTATACTGAGCGATCTCCTGGGTGCATTGAATGGAATCCTTCTGAGTCTTTAGATTACATTCTCTGTTACGATCGTATTCACGCCAAAAAGAAATATTTGGGAGTCTAGTAAGTCTATTATAAAAGATAGCTGCATTCCTCCGAACCAGGTTAGTCATTGCCTGTAGGTCACAAAGCAAATGCATTTATAGTAAATAAAGTGAACTTATTTGAGTCTCTTTTGAAAAATTCACTAAAGGTAAGATAAGCTTCTCCAGAGAAGGTTATTTGTTTATTAAGTGCAATACGCACGTGCATCCCTTTGTAGAGTCTTTCTCTCTCTCTCTCTCTCTCTATATATATATATATATATTAAAAAAAAAAAAAAGTGCATTTTCACATTACACAGGCATTTTCACAAACAAAAACCAAATCAGGTGAACAAAGTTTTATAGTTCCGCAATCATTTTTAATTTTATGCACACTATGCATTTTAATAACCCCAAATATAGTCCAAAACATGTGGAAAACAATTAAACCTTAAGATGATATGGAACAATATGGATAAAAACATACGGATGTTAAGGAAGAAATTAAAAAAGTTCTGCTTGCAGAAGCTTATAGTTTTGTTGAGAGCAGAAAATTAAGGAAAGGTTTATCGAGATGTATAAGATAATTTCTTTCTCCTTTCCGCATGCCTCCGCGGTGTAATTGAAGCAAACTCGAAGCGAATTCGAGAGCTCTGGAGTTCGAATCCCGACGACGTCTCTGGCCATTTTTCACGTCTCATCATCAAAACCCCTAACGACTCTTTGCAGTGGCTCTCACACTAAAAGGTGATGGACGTCACCACCAGGATTTGGAGATCGGGTCCCTTAATCCCCAGTCGCCTTTTAAAAGGGGGTGAGTATATAAGGCATCAGAGGTAGGCGCAGCTCGACTGACCTAACCAAACAAATAAAGTCTCATGGTCATAACAGGCCATGAGTATGTAAGGCATTTTCTCCCCACTTACCGCTTGTATTCGTGGTGCAATTGAAGCATACGCGATGTATATTCGAGAGGTTCCGAGTTCGAATCCCGGAGAAGGCACTGCACATTTTTCACGCCTCCAGCATGCAAAACTCTAGTGACTCTACAAGTGGCACTCGAACTAAAAGGTGGTGGACGATAATCCGTCACCACCAGGACTTGGCGACTGGATCCCCCCAATCCCCACCCACTCTAAAATCGAGAGTATATAAGGTATTTTCTCCCTCTTTTCTGCACGCCTTCGTGGTGTAATTGGAAACATACTCGACGCGCATTTGAGAGATCCAAGGTTCGAATCTCTGGATCTCTTGAAAAATGTGCCCGTGATGAGAAAAATGTGCACGAGGGCAATGCACATTTTCCACGTCCCCAGCATCAACACAACCTAATGACTCTACAATGTATTTATCCAAAAAAATGTGAAAATATACTTCTTTTCGCTTAATCGCGTCCCTTGGAATACTTTTGTTTTTAAAATCTAATGTTATATGTGTAATTTATAAAAACTGTATAGTCTTCTTTTGCTTACTATACTTCCAGAGTATGGCACTGCACATTTTTCACGTCTCCTGCTTTAACAACAACAACAAAAAAAAAAAAAAAAAAAAAATTATTCCTCTATAAATATACAAAATAAGTTAGATTTCAAAAGACTTTTCTGTTTAAAGCCATTAAATAATTATTTTTAGATTACCGAATTCAAGCATGAGTGATAGCTGAAACAAATTTTTAATTGTGACGGTTCCACCATGATTTGCGTAATGGAAGTAATTTTCGAACAAATAAATTCTTTCATAAATGACAATATGTTATTTAAAAATCAAAGCAGGAAGTGTAAATCTGTCACGACGATAATACTTTCCTCTGGAATGTGCTGCAAACCATATCATCATAAAAGTGAGGTGGAGGAGGTTAATCATTTTTGCATCTTTGAAGTAAACACCCAATCTTGATATAAACCTTCAGCCATTAAACCCTTCGAATTCTGCTGTTCTCCGCCTATCATTTAACTTTTTTAAAGCAGTGAATAAAATCAACATTCACTGCTTTAAAGAAAGTTAAATGACTCATTTTCCTCTGCGAACAAAAACCACGATTGTGAGAGCATCTCGCAGAATAAAAAGACAAAGCAAAAAGCTTCGTTGGGTAACTCAACTCTTCACGAATTCGGTCGCTGCTTTTCAACTTGACGATCCCTTTAGTTCCTTTTTCTTTTTTAAAGACTGAAGCACACAATAAACGGCCATTGAAGAACAAAATAAAAGAATTATCCCGGCCTAAGCAGTGACCGAGCAGCGCATTTAATGCGCCACTCGTCTCACACAATGAGGCGCAAGAGGCCTTGTGGATGTCCGGTTGGACAATTGAGCCAACTCTATGAGATAGAGATCTCACAATGATTGTTCTTTGCCTAGCTGTCCCTTTTTGCTTTTTTTTTTTTTTTTTGGTCCATGCATGTTCGTGCTGCATTTCTTATACTACAGGTGTGACAGGAGGACCTTGAGGCTGAAAGTGACAACTACTCGGAGATTGTAACAAGGAAGGTTGCTCTAACAATCACGCAACGTCAGTTGCTATGTGCCGCTAGTTCGCACAATTTGTCACTTAAAATATTATAATGTAACATCCTCTTTAATTCAGATTTTCCACAATGCATCTTTGTTTTCCTTGAAATGGCACTGAAGAATACTCAGAATTATAATTTCGATGTCATCCATTTTCTAGAATATTGTATACATAAATACAGGTTTTTGTTTAATCTCCATGCGGTGTTTAAATGTTAATGGAAAAGATCTCATATTCCCAGTGAGTTAGGAATTATAAAGTGCAGTAAGAACTTGATTATCCATCACTTTTATAACCGTCAAGTTTTGTTTAGCCAGCAACCATCCGCTGAGACAACTCGATGTCCAAACCGAATCCAATACGTGTCAAACAAAGAAAGAAATTCAAAAGCAGAGGAGAGAGTTTGTCTTAACTTAAATTAAGCCATATTCTGAAGTAAAATATACAATATAGCAATGTAAATTAAAACTATATATACATATATATATATATATATATATATATAAAGAAGAAAAGAAGAAAGTCTGTTGTTCGCTAATAAGTGAGTCAATACTATAGGTATCGTCAGCAAACTTTTAATATTTCTTTTCTGGGTCCTGGAAAATGTCGAAGTCCACATTAAAAAAAAAAAAAAAAAAAAAAAAAGTTGGAGATAAAAATGCTTTATTTCGAAAAGTGTCGCTACTGCTCGCTTTCAAAATCGTAGAGTTTGTTATATACAAAATAAATATCTTATAACTGCACTCTGCATGTCTTCAAAATATCCGGATGCAGTTCTTGACGCAAATCAACACCACGATTGTTGATGTTTTCCTTCAAATATTTAATCGAATGGGATTTCCATAGGAGGTTCAAACCGATCAAGCCACATCTTTTACGAGTGCGCTGACATCGAATTTCCTAGAAAAATTCGGAATTAAAGTTAAGTAAAGGCTCTATTAGCTCTTCGAACCACTATTCACGACAGTACCAGTTTGTCGCCCGCCGAATTAGTTCATGGCAGAACTCCAATTATGCTACTGTTTGAAAAATTATCTGGTAAATAAGAGGAAGAAAATACAGTAGTGGACTATATTTTTTGAACTAATGAATCGAATGAGGAAATGTCAAGAACTGTCTGTCCAGCATATGGAAGAAGCCAAAGAAAGGCAAAAACTCTGGTGTGATCGCAAATCCGTAGAACGTAAATTTCAAGAAGGAGACTTAGGAGCTCCATCGAAGCCAGACAAACTATCAGTTAAATGGGTAGGTCCTGGAAAAATAGTTCAACAATTATCAAAGACAAATTATGTAGTCGAGTTTCCCGAGAAAAATAAAACTCAGGTGTACCACATTAATGTGTGTGAAACCGTATTTTCAACGAGCAGAAAATATAAACTTGTTTTGTTTAAAAGATAGGATAAACAGCTATGAAGATGAAATACCGAGTCTAAATTATAGCGCAGATACTGAAATGTCTGAAGTTTTGCAAGGCATCCAGTTGAATTCACTATTATCTGAAGACCAACGAAACAATTTAAAGCAGTTGATATACAAGTATTCCTGTATTATCTTTAATGAACCAGGATGTACTGACCTTCTTGAACATGATATAGAATTAGAAGCAGAAAGATCGATATGCACGAAACCTTATCAAATGTCTGCCAGACAAACCGAGATTTTAAAAATTGAAGTAGAAAACATGATAAAACTCAAAGTAATAGAACCAGGTGAATCGGATTTTAACGCTTCACTCATACTGGTTGGTTGAAGTTCCTGGAAAAGAGGCAAGACCATGCATTGATTACCGTCGCTTGGACAAGGCAACTATAGGACACAGTATTTTCCCTTGCCAAACATTAAACATTTAGTGAAAAAGTGTCATCTGCCAGATATATAACTGTTCTAGATCTTACTCGAGGTTACTGGCAGATCCCATTAACTAAAAGAGTTACGCTGCTTTTGTGGCAAGTTTTGGAACATTTAAACCCTTAAGGTTACCTTTCCGGCTAAAAAATGCAGCATATGATTTTAGCCGCTTGATGGCAGGATTATTAAGAAACTGTGAAGAATTTTGCTGTACCCTATATTGACGATGTTGCAGTATTCTCGCAAACCTGGGAAGAACATTTGAAGCAGTTAGAAATTATTTTGGAGAAGATGAAAATTGCTAGACTGCATATTAAGCCTTCGAAATGTCAGTTTGCACATACGATCGTCAAATATTTAGGTCATGCAGTAGGACAAGGTCAAAGAAGACCAGCATAAAAGACTTCCATAAACCTACCACGAAAAACACAAGTCCGGTCATTTTTGGGACTTGCGGGGTATTATCGAAGGTATATTTCTGAATTTTCTGTGGTTTCTGGACCACTGACAGATCTGTTAAAAGGAAAATGTTGCAAATCAACCATAAATTGGATTGATGACTACCAAAACGCTTTTGATGAACTCAAGAAACGGTTAAGACAAAATCCAGTCTTATACAGTCCGAACTTTTCTCAGCAATTTATCGTTCGGTGCGACGCTTCGGATATTGGTATTGGCGTTGTATTATCACAGATAAAGGCTAAAGACGAAGAACATCCAATAATATTTCTTAGAAAAAAAGTTTTCACCTACTGAACAGAAGTAGAGTACAATAGAAAGGGAGTGTGCTGCCACTGTCTTTATAAAAGTTAAAATTCTACCTAGATGGACCTCATAAGTTCATTATTCAGACTGATCATAATCCTCTAGTATGGTTGGATAAAAATACTGGGACTAATCCTAGACTATTATGATGGACTTTGATCTTACAGCCTTTTAACTATGAAGTTGTGCATAGAAAGTCGAAGCACCATCAAAATGCTGAGAGTTTAAGTCGTTGTATCCAAACATCTCACAACTAAAAATATACATTCTAAGAAGTTTAAAACTTCATTGTTTAAATTTTTCTAATATTAGAATATTAAATTTTTATTTAAAATGCTTCTTTCAAAGCACTTGTACTCATTTGGTTAGGTATCTAATTGTATTTGTTATAGATATGATTGAACATCTTTTCTGTCGTTAAAAAAATTATGTGTTTGAACTGAAAAGTTTTCTTGAAAGTTCCATAAAATTGAAAGAAAAACTTTTCTTCGAAAAGTTCCCCGTGAGGGAAGGAATTTGAGACTAACGTATTTGCTTTGCTACGCTACGAACATAATTTCACTAAAAAATGTAGAGAAACCTCACGCAAAGAATATCCGTGCAGACGATACACGCGATTAAAACTGTTTTTCAGCTTCTGTAAGTTTTGACTAATAAAGTTGGTTGTTCGTTCAAAAAATGGCAATATTTCTTTAAAACTTCATTTACAGTACCAAATATCCCAAGTACACAAGTATGCTCTTTCTATCCACCTACCCAAGTAACAAGATCTTTCAATAAATATCACTACACATATTGTGGCGGGAATTTGTTTATGCTTTGCAAGTTCGTTGGTATAAACAATCTTTGGAGAAATCATTAATCTTTACCATTCTGTTTTCCTATAGCGAAATGAATGTTAATTAATAATTTGCTGCAGCGCAAGTGCAGCAGACATCTAAAAGTTTTATGCATTTTTAGTCAGTCCCTGCAAATTACATTTCTATCCAAGTAACACGTCCTTTCTACAAATCTACCGAAGTATCTTTCCCAACTATTAAGTATCCCAAGTACCCAAGTATGCTATTTTTATCCACTTACCCAAGAAACATGTTCTTTCATTGTTTCACATGTTGTGGTGGGAATCTACACATGACCATTTTGTTTTCCTACTGCGCAATGAGTGTTAACTTTCTGCAGCGCACATCTAAAAGTTTTATGCATTTTCGGGCAGTGCCTACAAATTACATTTAAAAAAACATCTAAAATACAGAGGCTGTTCGCACATTTTTTAGACGATTTTGGTAAGCGGTAATAAAAAATTGTTTGCTGCAAAAGAAGTAATTGCAACTGTACTATGTTTTTAAAAGTCAAAATTATGGTCTGTGGCTTGAAAGTTTTGTTTTTATTCAAAATGGCGAATTTAACAAAGCAGTGGTTCGAAGGCTACATTTACGCTCTTTCCGAAGAGAAATATGCATACTCCGTTATCCAAAAACGATGTGAGAGTCATTGTTTTGTGATATCTAAAGCGACGATAGGTAATATCATCAACAAGAAAGGAAAAAAGCGTCAAATTGGAGCCTCAAGTGGGACAAAAATTCCAAACAAATACCCAAGGAAAAAACGGACATCTTCGACTATTGCAAAGGTACGTTGTTTAATGTTAAAAGAAAATCCCCCTAGTCAAAGGACAGTTGCAAAATCATTAAAATGCCCGGTGTCCACTTGTAAAACAAAATGATAAACATTGATTTAAACCTTAAGAAAGCGAAAAAAAAAAAAAAAAAAAAAAAAAAAAAAAAAAAACGCAATGTGCATCGTCTTCTTCTTCCAAAGCTTATAGCTCAACGCAGGACATGCTACAGAATTCTATATGAGAAACACTTATCCAATGAAAAATGGAAAAACAATTGTCACAATAGATGAAGCATGGGTTGTATTAAATGATTGTAACAAAAAAAGAGCCATTTATGATCATAAAAGAGGAGAAAAAATTTAAGTACATTGTTCAAAGAATCGAAAGAAAGTTTTTCTAAGGGATTCATGATTGTTGCTGGTTTTTCTTATAATGGCAAGTTAAAAATAAAGAGAGTGCAAAAAAATGTCCCAAATACTATCAGGAACATATTTTATCGCCAATTTTTCTGAATGAAATTCCATCGCTTTACCCACAGTGCCATTAATCTGTGAGACTCCATCAGGACAAAGCTAGCAGTCACACATCAAAATCCAATGTAAATTTCCTAAAACAAATTGAACAAAAAATTGGTATCAAGGCCATACATACTCTTCACTGATATCCCTACTAAATCACCCAATGTGTCAGTTATGGATTTTTGTGCTTTCGGATTTTTAAAAACTGCAAAACCCTAACAGGACTCTGGAAAGCTGTTCGTGAGGAATGGGATAGAATATCTCTTCTGCCACTTCAAAAGGCATTATTATCCTGGAAATTGCGGTGTCAAAAGATAATTCAGAATAAGAGATGTCAAATAGAACATTTAAAACACAAGAATTTTATGTAATTTAGTTTTATGAATACAATATACATCGTCTAAAAAACGTGTGAACAGCCTCTGTACCGTTGTATTAAGCATAGGAGCTCTAAAAAAAATTCCAAATGAGATTGAGTAATATAATCTCCGGAAAGGGAGAAGAAGCCAAAAAGGTTAGAAAATGGTGATCTGCTATTATCCATGATGACAAGACTCTCGAGATTGACGTATAATCGGAGACTCCACATTATTTCTTTCGTTTCAATCAAGCTTACGTTCGTCATCTAAAGAGAAAAAGGACATTAAAGCTTGCAAAGTTTTAAGCTTGACGTAATTAGATTAATATCATTCTAAGTTAATCTTATTTACGACGAAATTTAACTGATATCAAGAATGACACAAAGACAATTCTCTTGGTGACTGCGTCGTACATTTTCAGTGTGGATGCAAAGAATTTAGGATTTTCCTTCCGATAAGATGTTAAGACATATAACTGTATTTGACGTTTTATTACCTTTATCAGTTTGCCAATTACTTAAGCACGTATAACTGTTAACATACAAATATGTATTTTTATCAAGGTTTAGAAGCACTATAAATGGCTTGTTTTCGTTTTTCAATTGGCATAATCTGTGATCGCGCCATATTCCGTTAAGAGATATTCGTGGCATATCTCCTGATAAGGACTTAAGTTGTTAAATGACTTGTTTTTCACAGGTTTATAAATCAAAGTTCTCTGTTTTGGGTGAATTCCTTATTTATACATAAAATTCTGATAAGATAACTAAGTAGTTGTACGATAAAGGTCATAAAGATGTGCTCATAAACTTCGTAACAGGATGCAAAACATAATTAATTCATCTTGGAGAAAGACTTTTAAAGAAGAGAAAAGTTTATTGGTTATTAAAAATTTTATCAGCCCAAAGGGCATTAGCCCAGGGGGGCTATTAATTTCGTTTTGGCATTTTACATTGAAAACATTAAATATCCGTTTCACTTTTCAAATTGTTGCCACCAAATATTATCGCCCGGAGTTATATTTAAAGAAATTAAATAATGAAGAATCTGCATTAAGTGTATATATGCTTCACCACATTGTGATTAAAGAACGGCACCTAGAGCCATCGAATTTTGAATGATGTAATCCTACTGCGAATATGGGTATCTGGAAGCTTAAATTTGAAATTTGGAATTTGTTTTATTATCGATTTCATACTTCGTGAAACTTTAACGAATTTTTGATTAACAAGACTCAAGTATTTCAAACCGAGCGATGGTTGTACAGAAAAAAACATTTTTATCTTCAGCGCGTGAGATTGTGTATCGAAAATTCTAAAGATATGCTCAGTTTAAAATTATTTTGCGATATTGCTCTTGAACTGAATTTTATGGTTTAAGTGCGAAGAACATGATATTTATTAAATAAAGGTACCACGCAAAACGTTAAAAAAGTCCCTTTGAACGTAATAAATGAGCAATTTTTTTCTGTCATAATTACTTTTCGATGTAACCTGCAATTATCATTGAAGTGAAATTGGAATAGTTTGACAATGAGGTTGCATTATAGGTGTTTACCTTTTTCAGCGTTCACAATAAAAATTATAAAAGAGAAATATTTCTATAAAAAGTTTTGGTAAAGCTGCTGTAGTTACAATCGGCAAATTGGAAATTATTATTCATAAATTAACTTATTGTATTCTGCGATTTGAAGATGCTATTGATTGCGAGGTGGATAAATCCGACTGTGAGAAAGATTTTATTTTATGAAAATAAAATAAATTAAATATTTAGTAAAATAAATAAAAATAAATAACAGCAACACACCCCCCCCCCCCCAAAAAAAAAAAAAAAAAAAAACTGAAAGATTTCAGATTTTAACAGTCACCCAAAAGGCTTTGTTCAGGTTTTTACGTTCTCGCTGTGCTCACAGCTGCTGCAGTCACTCCTACTAACCTTTTTTTTTCATTCTGCTTTATTATTAAACATGATTTTCTTTGAACTTACGCCATATACAATACTACAGCAAAACTACAAAAAATTTAACAGCAGTATAGTAGTATAAGTTAAGAATTCTTGATACAGTGTTAAGAGTTGGCATACATTTTCCTGGATCCCCCCCCCATGTTCATTATATCAATATTCAGTTTTCTTACTAACATGGCTTGACAAAACATTTTTTGTCTTTTTGTTTTTCACGCTTCGTGAGTTTATTTTATTTATTAAGTATCACATTCTTGGTGACTACGCCACAGAAAATTCGATTCAATGGCAAAATCAGAAAATATTTAAAAACAGCATACCTTTATAATTTCCAATGCCTCGCGCACTAAATATATATTCCCCCCCCCTCCCGTACAGTGTTCCCATTGTTCGCTTTAAAATAGTTGAGATTGTTAATCAAAAATTCCTTAAAGTTTTACAAAATATGAAATAGATAGTAAAGAAAATTCAAAATTCGGATTTCCAGGTGCCCGTATAAGTGTAGGCTCGGGTGGAGGACTACGTTATTCAAAACTGGATGGCTCTAGGTACCGTTGTTTTTTCATAATGCAAGAAACATGCATACATTCATGCAGATTCTTCATTATTTAATTTCTTTTTAAATACACAGGTACAGTGATAATATTTGGTGGCAACAATCTGAAAAGTGATACGCCGTTTATAGGGATTCGACGCAAAATTCCGGTACCTAGAGTCATTGAATTCCGAATAACAAAGTCCTCCACTTGGACATGGGGCGCCTGGAAGCCCGAATTGGAATTTCGAATTTTTTTCACTGTCTATATCATATTTTGCAAAATTTTAACGAATTTTTGATTAAAGAACTCAATGATTTCAAAGCTAGCAGTGGCAACACTGTAGGGAATACAACATTCTTATCACCAGCGAGCGGGACTGTCTATCGGAAATTCTAAAGATATGCTGTTTTTAAATATGTTTAGCCCGAATTGTCTCGAAACATGTATGTGTCTGTAAAACAAAAAAAAAAAAAAAAAAAAAAAAAAAAAAAAAAACCTCGCCCGTTTGGGCGTAATATTAAATCTAAAAGCTTTCAGATATTTTTTTATTAAGTAGTTGTTTCTAATTACAAATAAGTACAATGAAATCCTCTGTGAGACGACCACTATGGTTCCAGATTATTTTTGTCTTCTGTGAAAATGGTCGATCTAAAATATAATTATTAGTTAGACAATTTTCTATT